CAGAGCATTTACCAGCAAACCCAGAGTTTAATTTCCTTCTCTCTCTTAACCCATCCAGTGTTGTTAATGCGTGATATGGCAAGATTGCACGACGACAAATCTTTTCCTTGAATGAAAGCATGTATTAATCAGTATCTTTTTGTCTCTGCATGTTGGATTTATATTTACTCTGATGAGATTTGGCCCATGAACATGGTAGGAAGGAAGGGGAAGAGGAGGTGTTATGAGCAGTGTGTCATATGATAAACATTCACCTCTTTCAGCTCCTGTTCCAATGAAGCCATCTGGGAACAAACATGATTCATAGCTCCTATGGTAGAAGCATTATTATTAAACCTGGTAGACCTGTTACCTTTATGTGCCACATTTACTGTCAACAATTTCACTGTTGTCTATAGCTCAAAACTGATTATTCAACCATAATGCATGTTGTTTTTTATGCACTTCTGTCACCTGCCTGCTGCTGTTTCTTTGCAATTCCTGTTGTGTCTGTCACAGCTTTATTCTTTTCATATAAGAGCAGTAATGTATAGACAACGCCCTGAAGCTTTTCTGACCAGTGTTTCATCTTATAGACAACCCTGAATGGAGGATGTTTCCTTGTAAGATGATGACTAATGTTGCCATGACATCAGCAGGGCAGCGTCCGGGTGTTCAACCTGCCTCTGCATCAGTTCATATTCAGTTTGGTCTTTTCTTCATCACCTTTTACTTTTAAAGGAATCAAAGAAATAGATTGATATTTTGACAAATACACTTATTTGCTTTCTTACTGTGAGTTAGATGAGAAGATCAATACCAGTCTCATCCGTACTGTGAACATGAAGCTACAGTCAGATAGCTTATCTTAGCATTAAGACTTGGAGTTGGGGGAAACAGATAGCCTGTCTGTGTCCAAAGTCAAAAAAATATCACTTACCAGCAGCTGTGAAGCCTAATTAATACAGAAATCAAACTGTATGTGAGAAGTTGTGGTTTTGGGGGGGTTATGTGCTGGACTATTTCCCGCCCAGGCACACTAACTTCTAGCACAACTTGTCATTTTTAAACTGAAGATATATCAGGTTAATCAGTGAACTTTAGAGGTGCTCGTAGGTGGTTTCTTTTTATCTTCAGACAGAGGCCTAGCTGTCCCCCGCCTCCAGTCTTTATGCTAAGATTAGCTAAACAGCCTCTGGTCATTTTTAAAATACAGACATGAGAGTGATATCAATCATCTTATCTAACTCTGCTTAAAAGTGAATACAGTATTCAGTATTTCCCAAAATGTCAAACTGATTCAGAGGAATCCTGATGTCCAACACCATGTCAGTCTTAAACTTGATATGACTGTTTTACTGTAATGATGTTTGTGATGATTTTGGTATCTAGCAGAGGACTCTGATCCAGGTGGGTGACGGACCAGAAACACCTGGGAGTTTCCACCAAGTTTTGCTTTCATTTCTTTCTTCTTTTTTTTTTCATTTTCAAAAATATCTCTTTGAAAATCATGAGGTTAAATCTCTTCCACTGCTGGGTCACTGGTTTGGCCCCGGCTTTCAGCGTAACCACACCCTCTGCTGCTCATCTGTAGAACGAGCCAAACACAGGGGAGGAGAGGATCAAATACAGGACAGCTTCCCTCTTCAGTCAACAACAACTTCTGACCTACATCTGCATCCACTTATCAACACAAGACTTACCATCCCTTATTATACCATATCAAGAATCTCATTTTGTGTCTCCAACACATCTTTGTACTGCTTATTTGTAGCCTAATGCACTGTCTATAACAATCAGAGGACTTGTTGAGTAAAGGACTGCACTCAGAAACTGATTTCATTTGGTGACATAGATGTTTGTACCCAGTCTCTAGCACCATATGAAATCAGTGTTCTGGGAGGTGGGCTATCAGCATGTACAGACTCTGTACATGAATGAATTGAAATACAGCATGTTCTCGTGATGCCTTAAAGTAGGTCACATTTGTATAAATAACTGTACTTTCCTGCTTCATTCACTAACTGGTCACAGCTGCTGTTGTGCTTTCTTTTTCTCCCTGCCTGTGTCTCCCATCGACTCAGGCATGTGTATTATCATGAATCCGCCTTTATTCATCAGTTGCATTTCCGTTAGCTGTGTTGTTTCATACATTTTGTAAGATTAACTGACACTGTTTAATTTTTCCTGAACAGTGAACAGAAGTGACACTTAAGAAATAATGGCAAACATTGTGTAATCAGGAGTCATACAGTCTGAGTCAGTAATGTCAGTTACACAATAATATCTTTCTTATGTTTTTTTTGTCTTATTTCAAAAGTTACATGCCTTTAAACCAACCTTTAAAGGCCCATTCTGTGTCTGAAGTCTGGTCCCAGCTCATTGCATGCACTTCATCCCATTACAGGGTTTTCTATATTTGTTTTGACTGAATGTGAAATGTACCATTTAGATTACATCAAAGGTAGTGGGTGTCGCAGCTACTGTATGCGGTATTAAGGAACCCTGTCAATTAAAAACTGAAAGAAGCCTTTATTTTGTGGCGATAAAAGTTGTAAAATTATCTTTACTGTGCTTAATAAATATCAACATTACAATAAACTTTTTATCACAATAAAGCTTTTGTCTCATTTAACCTCATTCAGTTGTTGAAAACTAAAATGTCTCTTGATGTTTCTCTCTCTTTGATGTTTTGATGTAAACAGTATATAAGAAATGTCTACAAGTTACAACATCTGTTGGGTTTAATAGATATTTTGTAAAAATATATCCAAGTTGACAAACCAGTCTCACCATGAGGTTCATTTAGTAGCCGCTCTGGAGCTTTCTAACATATCAAAGGATCTTCTTCAGCAGTTGTCATGGAATTGCAGATGTTCAAATTTCCATGTTTGTGAGTATTTAAAAGTGGAAGTTGATTGTTTACAACTGAAAGCTCCAGAACAACTACTAAATTGACCTTGTGGTAACATTGTTTTGTCAAATACTGTTTTTGTCCAAGTTTAAGAATGAACTTTCAGGTTCAACTTCTAAAGCGAACATGGACGAGAAGTATTTACCTGCTGAGGAAAGCTACTAAATGCACTTTGTTGTGATATTGTTTTGTCAACTATAGCCATTTGTTTGTGGGATTGTTTTCATTTATAAACTCACAATACTACATATGTTTTATTTGACTGAGAGCCATATGTATGAAGGTATAGTTCATGTGTTTTTACCCATACCCAGGAGCCGTTTCAAAGCACCCCCTCCACCCTGAAGACGCTACAGCGGTGATGTCATGCACCATATATCATGACATCGACAGGTGTGGTGATGATGTGCTCATGAAGGACAGAGCTGTGGGGTTCAAGGAGCATATCATGCCCTGTTTGACTGATGTATGGGTCTTGCTACAGAGGAAAGTCAAACAGGCCAGAAGGGTCTGAATAAAATCTAATCTTGATCCTTATATGGGGGTAAAAAAGATGATTTATTGCACAGTATGAGACTTCCCTTGGATGATTTATTATTCATGAACCGCACTCTGAAGCAAAGAAATTCAAAGACAGTGAGACAAAATTTCTGACAACATTGTTTTTATCAAATTTGACATGTATTGCTTTCGCTGAAATGAAAATAAGGTTCTCAGTTGTAAAGTATATATCAAATGCAATATGCATGAGATGAAAGAAAGTTTCAAACAAGCATCCTGATGTAATATTTATATGGTTATATTTATTTTTATTTATATTTGCATTCCTGTCTCTAAGTACAAACAAGTCCATGTATTCAAATGAGACATTTTACATGCTGTTATTATATTTTCTCTGTAATGTCAGAAAAGGTTCATTGTCTTTCTTGCTTTAGTCCTCCAGTCTGGCTCATGCACCCTGACAGTAAAGGCAAATAAGGGACCTTGGGCAAAAATAAGATGCTGGGACCTACAGATACGCCCCGCTAACACCAACTCTCTTTGCATTGTATACTGTATGTACTCTGTCACCTTCAAAGGCCTATCAACAACTGTGCAGAGCAGATTGCACATGACAGCTGAATTATGAGTATCAAAATCAGAATCAACTTCATTGCCAAAGTTGCTGAAGCTTGCTGAAGCTGAAAAATGTAAGTAAGAAGAAGATGCACATTCAGACATTCAGTTATATAGATAAGGAAACATATAAACATATTACTATCATGTGCAGGCAAGTAGGAATGAAAATAGATATGTATAAATAATATCTGGTCAACATAGTATTGTTCCTATACACGTTAAATCGTTACTGTATATTGTCTATATGGGGTAGTGGTGTGGTTCTTACTATTCTAAAGAACAAGGTAGTAGTGAGTGTTTATCAATACAAAGCCCATTAGAATTAATATTGTATGGGTAATATTGTAAACAATCTATATTCAGAGGTGGTGGCCATATATTGATGGATTGAGTCTATATGTACACGCATTATGTTTCACCTTAAGTCCCAGAAACCAAGTAATGCGCCTGGAATACAACACAGCTACACATTTGCAACATGTCTGTAAGTTACAGTTAATTTTATGTTTGTGAGCTCCTTCAGCACCATTTAAACTCTATGAGATATAACTAAAAAATAAATAAATAAATCCCAATTGAGTCCGTATGCCTATTAATTGGTATTAATTGTTTATTGTTGGTGTTGGCACTGTGCCCTCCATAATCTGTATTGAGATAAATCTGTGATGTGTAGGCCTAGATATAGGGGAAGATACACGTCTCCGTATTATGTTATTCATTATTATTACAGTTTATGTGTTATGTCCAGGTACCTCCCTGTGAATATACTCATGCAGAAGCTTAATAAAGAAATAATCGTAACAAAAATAAATCTGAATGAGAAGTGGAGAATAAGCCTCGTTTCCATTATTCTCCGCCTCATTCAACATCATTTTATAGAATTCTGACTGGCCCCTCCCATCTCGTGGTATGCAAGCTCTGAGCGCTCTGCTGATTGGTCCATTTCCAAGATTCCGCCATATTCAAACTTCCGCCGTGGTGTGTGTTCTGTTGTCATCGATCTCCTGCTTTCTTTGTACACATTGGGATCAGTTTTTACACGGCTGGTCGTCGTCCTTTGCTCACTTAGCTACAACTACGCCTCGATATAAGTGATTTCAAAACGAAGCCTCTCGCAAAATGGAAGAAAATGAAGAGGTTTGTGGAGGAACGATGGAAAATAAAAGGCAAAAGCTTCGCAGGATGTCATCGAGGACGTCCAATGCCAGTGTCATCAACGATGCAGAGCCCTCTCCACAAACACTCCGGAGAAACAACTCCAAAAAGTACGTGGATCATGTCTTAAAATACAAAAATCCTCCTTTATTTCATAGCTCTGTTGCAATATAATGTGGCTATTGCACTCTTTATTGTGGCTAATGGTACCTGGTTAATCAACGGTGACGGGCAGGACTGGTATTGTAACTGGCAAAGGATGCCTTCAGGTGCACCTCGGAAAACATAACATTAAACTTTTAAACGACGTGGTGAAGTATTGCAAACATCTCTTTAGTAATTAATTACTTGTCATAACTAATTGCAAGTAAATTAAAGAATGAAGGCAGATTTCAAGTTAGAATTGTTTTTAATCATTTATCAGTTGAGCATTTTTCTTGGATTAATTGATTAATCATTTCGTAGTTTCATTTTAGAGGTTGGAACCACTAAACGATCTGCTTGATCAATAATCAAAATACTTAGCCTAATTTTCAGCTGATCAACTATTCGACTGATCATTTCTGAACTAGAATCAATGGTAGTGTAAGTTAGACGCAACAATAAATTATATCAGCACACTATTAGTAGGGTATGCTAAATGTGTTTCTGCTGCTTTTCTGTTTTGAATAGCCAAAGGCAATTAGATAAAGTTATAATTTATTTCATTCAATTCTATCAGCCAATGCCATCTTCATCAGGTCAGTACTGTTTATACCTCCAATACAGGGCAGTTCTGAAACTCACTGACTTGCCTTTAGATACATATACTGTATGTGCATGATTTGACTTGCATTGCACCTCTACTTGTTCTTACAGGCTAAAATGCTAAAATGTTAAATGCTATAAGTATTGATATCTGCAGATATATTTGGTAAAGAGATTTGTATTGGCTTCAAATTCATGATTGCACAGTGTCAAATGGTTAGCTTGCAGTCATTACTCTGTTTACATGTTGACGTGTTTCTGTGTCCCCTACAAATCATTTCCCAACAGCATCTATTTTGTAGATAAATGCAACTTTACCAGTTATTTTCATTACTTTCTTGTATCCTTCACTCTCCACTTATTTTCAGCATAGCTTAAAGGCATGAGCACAAGAACTGGGTTGTGTGTAGCGGGGTGTGCAGCTGACCTTGGACTTGACATCACCCTCTGGGAGTCACATCCTAAGAAGAAGACATTGTAACTCTCTGTAGCTTCATTGTTTTGTCACCATAACTGACTTTTTCCTGCAGCAGCAGTGAGCAGTCAGACTCCTTATATGGTTTTAAATATTAATATCCCTCCGTCTTCATCCACAACACTTGACATATTTGAAACAGTGACTGGAACAGAAATGGGACACAAACGGCATCTGTCATATTAACAGCTGTAATGCATTCTCCATTAAAATGATAACTTTCTATCTCCATCTACTTCTGGATACATTTGATTGACCATTTTCATAAACCAGCTACCTAGAATGAATGAATTGAAATTCAGGTGAAGTTGTTTTGTGAGGTGCTTCAGCTGCCAATGTCTGCATATTAGATTCTGTCCATCTTGTCTATCAATAGAAGACAAGGAAACATCCTTTCCCAAAGTTTTTGTTACCAGACAGCCAGCTAATGGGGAGCAAAATTTAAAAACAGACATAAGTAAGCGAAGCTGTCAATGAAGTAGATATAAACTTATTTTCACTGTGCAAAGCCAAACGTGATTTGTCTCGTTTCTTGTAGACCTCCACTGCAGAGAGGAAGCTCCTTCACGTTTCTGACACCAGGGACTCCATGGGACTTCAGTCTAGTGAGTTAATGTTGAAAACCAAACGCTATCGTGTTACACTGCAGTGGTCACATCCTCACACTATTATCTGTTTGTTGAGCAAATGAAAATAAAACATGACTGTCATAAGCCATACATGTGACTTGTACATGAACTGCATCTCTGATACTTGGATTGTGTTTTATATGTAGGAATATTTCATAATGTTGCTGAAAATCTATTGTTTGAACTCTCAGTGCACCTGTGAAAGTATCAAGTGTGTCTTTCTTGTATTTCTGCAGAAGAGAAAGCGCAAAGAGAAGGAGGATGACACGGTCAGTCTGTCGAGCTTCGACCTCAAGGTGAGAGTCAGGACAGCCTCTTGTTTGTCCACTGGGTGCAGGTCTGCACCAGACCTGCTTTAATCGCTCAAACTTTAATCCTTTTACATGACTCAGGTTCTCAGCTACACAGGAAGCCATGAGCGCTCTCGTGTGTTATGTGCTCAGGATAATCTCTCAAACTGGCACAACCGGTGTGTGTCTGAGGATAATAATGATAATGGTGAAAGAAACTGTTGCTCAAGACGATCAGTCTTTTAGCGCTGTAATGGTTACAAATTCATGGTTCAGTTGAGTGCATTGAGTGGTTTAATACACTTATACAGCATCAACACTTGCATTTTGATATTAACATTAAACTTTAATAAAAGACGGCTATGATATTTAGGAGGATTGTAGGATTCCCTAATTTGAGAGGTTTCTCAGCAGGATAAATCACACTAAACAAAAGTATTTCTTTGCAATTATACAAACACTGTATATAATAATGTGTATATACTGTATGTATGTATAATTGCTGATTTTTTTTTTTTTTTTTTTGACACATGTTGAATAAAATAATTTAAAGGTAAATGTTTTAATCCCAATATCTGCTTGAGAGTCTTGTGTTAAACAATACCATATTATCCAAGATATTGTTGCAGCGCTACAGTATACACCTCAATACAATCAAGTGGAATTAAAGAGAGTTTATTTCTTTGATTCGCAGGAACCCAGTAACAAGCGTGTACGACCACTGGCCAAAGTTTCATCCCTTGTCAACTTGATATCTCCTTCAAAGAATGGGGCAGTGCGGCGCTTTGGCCAGACCATCCAGGTACAGGGCATTGTCTTTTCTGTGACACTCACTCTTCAAATTGACCATGTGGAAATTTAGATGAGTATAATTTGTTTGACTCTCAAATATTTCTTTTTTTCTAGTCAATGTCATTACGTGGTGATAGCAAGTCACCAGGGATGTCGCTCAAAGCCAGCAGCAAGGCAGCAGGTCCCACTCCCACTAAACGCAGAAACAGTACGCTGTGGTCAGAGACACTGGACGTACATCAGAAGAGCACGTTCTCCACCAAAGAGATCAAGAGACAAGAGGTTGTGTGCTTCAGTCTAGAGTGCGGTCATCTTAAGAGTACAGAGAGCAGAAAAACTAACTTCTCCTGCGGTGGTTTCTTTCTTCTTTCTTCTCCAGGCAATTTATGAGCTTTACAGAGGAGAGCAGGATCTCATTGAAGATCTCCAACTTGCACGAAAGGTTAGAAAATAAAATGTAATCATTTATTTAAAAAATCAAAACATTTACTCTTTCTTTGTTAACGGCTTCTTTGCTCATCTTCAGGCGTATCATGATCCGATGCTAAAGCTCTCTATAATGACAGAGGAGGAACTAGGTCACATATTTGGGGACCTGGATGCATACATCCCCTTACATGAAGGTAAGATATCACCAACCATTATTTGACTTTAATTCTAAAATGTGTTTCTGACCATGTGTGAACTATTTTCTCTGCAGACTTACTGATGAAACTGACCGAGGAAACAGGCCCTGATGGAACAGTAGCTCAGATCGGACAGATAGTAATAGACTGGGTACGTATGGTAGCAAACTAACATTCTGAGAATATAGTAAGAGGATGTTTACCTTTCACACATGGTTCCTACTGGGCCTTTTTAAGACCTTTTTGATAACATATAGAACACATAACACAGTTTAATACCTGTTTCACAGTTAAACTGGTCAAAGTATGATGGAAAACCAGTAGGGATTATACAGCCTAGAATTGTTTATTATTATATCCAGTTTTTCAGTTGTTTCTAGCAGTATATAGCAGTAATTCCTAATGCATAAAATGAAATTAATTATGCATTAATTTAATCGGACATGGATAAGCTGCAGAAAATGGATGGATGGACCCATTAAAAATTACAAATTAATTTAAGTTTTGGCTATAATTGACACATGCCCATTATGAGACGAGCCTTCGTAGCTACTGTAGCTAGCTAATAGATGTGACGGTGTTTGCATCAGGTTTGACGGTGCTGACTGAAACTTAACTAAAATGTATTGGTCCTGCAGCACAACCCACTGTCAAAAAATCACACTTAGTTTAGAGGTGCATAACATCTCCAGACAACCAGGAATGGCATACAGAAACATATTATAACATTTCTGTTTACGGTACATTCAAGAGAAAATATTCAAGATTTTAAAATAAAAAAATAAAAGACTTTTTTGGAAGATACCAAATTCATTATTTCTTAAGACTTGTCAAGACCTGCAGATACCTTGATACATAGTCTTCAAATACTGTAAGTTTTCAACAACAAAGTTGGAACCTGGTTTTGTATCTTCTCAGCTGCCTGGTCTGAATGCTTACAAAAACTACTGCAGCAACCAGCTTGCAGCGAAAGCCCTGCTTGACCAGAAAAAGCAGGACAGGCGGGTCCAGGACTTCCTGCAGCGCTGCCTGGAGTCGCCCTTCAGCAGGAAGCTTGACCTCTGGAGCTTCCTAGACATCCCACGATCACGCCTGGTGAAATACCCACTGCTGCTGCGAGAGATCCTGAGACACACTCCTCCTGATCACCCAGACGTAGCCAGTCTGGATCGAGCTGTATGATATCTACTTTCTACATATCTTTGCTATCTCAGATATGACTGTTGTTGCTTACATTCAGCTTTTAGATCTGATAAATCACCTGGCTATAGCAATTATGGTGTGCTATTATTATTATTATTATTATTATGGCTATAGCCTATAATAATACACCTTAATTTTATAGTTATAGAACATCTCTACGGTTATTGATTCTTGTGCATTTTCCCCAGTAGTCATAAGTCTTTCTTTAATTATCCAGATCACAATAATCCAGGAGATTCTGTCTGATATCAACGTGAGGAAAGGGGAGTCTGAGTGCCAGTATTATATAGACAAACTGGAGTACCTGGATGATAAGCAGCGGGACCCTCTCATAGACAACTGTAAGACCCTACTTTGTCATGGTGAGCTGCGGAACAAGAGTGGCTCGGTGAGAATTGGGATTACTTTCCATATTATTACCATCCACGTGCTATGAAATTACTATCAACAGGCAGTTTGTCTTGTATTAAAGTAAATTTCATTCCCTTTGAACATGTTTCTCTACAGAGGCTGCACGTGTTCCTTTTCTCTGAGCTGCTGGTTTTGACCCGACCGGTGACACGTAACGACAGGAGCTGCTTCCAGGTGTATCGACAGCCTATCCCGGTTCGGGACTTGGCTCTAGAGGACCTGCAGGATGGAGAGATCCGCATGGGGGGGTCATTCAGAGGGGCTTTCACCAACGCAGAGAAAGGTGGGTTGAGTTGTGTTGCACTCCATCTTGTGCTGAGGCATTTTCTCAGATTTGTGTCACCCTTTTTAATTTTTGATTGTTTCATCGATTTGATGGATTTGTTCCTTTTCTGTCTTTTGTATTGTTTTAAATTTGTTATCCCAATTTCCCAAAGGGACCACAATGGTGAAAAAGCTCTAGGCTTTAATGTGTTATCCTGACTTTTTCCCTTTATCTATGCACAGAAACTATCGTACAAAATCAATCAATCAATCAATCAATCAATCAATCTTTTAGGTTTTGCTCCATTGGTCAGACAAAATAAATTGAAGATGCTACTTTGTGCTCTGGGAATTTATTTTGTGCTGACTTTGTATGGACTAAGATTAAGAGAAAACAGAGTAATCACAACAAATAATCATTAGTTGCAGCCCTTTTGTGGAAGTAGGGTTTCATTATTGTTTGGTTTCACCCATTCTGTTGAATCTTCCAAGCTTTTCTGAATCACCTGGTTACACTGGGAACATGCCCTGAGCTGTAAGGGAGGGGTTGGTTGTGGCTCCAGTGTTCAATAGTGGAATTAAGCTTAACTTGAATCTTCTCTATGCTGCAACTTTAGATTTTGCTGTTGCACAAGCAGGCCTACGCCAACATGAAAACAGAACAGTTAGTGGTTATAAAATTTCACAGAGAAGTAAATAGACACCGTATTTACTCCCGTCACTGCAGCTGAACCGCTGTTTTTAGTATATTTGTACTTTATGGAATGCCATTAAAACTTGATTTTGTCTAGACTTTGCGGCCTTAAAGGACCAGTGTGTAGGATTTAGGGGGCTTTATTTGCAGAAATGGAACATAACATTTATACTTATGCTTTCATTAGTGTATAATCACTTGAAAGTGAGAGTCATTGTGTTTTTGCTAGCTTAAAATTATTTCATCTGTTGCATGTTGCACTGCCATATTTCTACAGTAGCCCAGAACAGACAAACCAAACACTGGCTCTAGAGAGGGCCTTGTGTGTTTATGTTGCCTGAAGGCCACTGTAGGTTGTCCTACATGCTTGGAAAGGGAGGGGTTAGGGGAGGAGTATTCGGTTGGTTGCAATCTGTAACCTCACCACTAGATGCCAATGAATCCTACACACTGGTCCTTTTAAAGAGATCTTTTTTTTTTCTTTTTTTTTTTAAATCTTTTTTGACTGTCTTTCTTTGCTTTCTGTGTCTCTCCAGTGAAGAACGTTTTCCGTGTGAGCTCTCTGGATCCATCCCATGGCCAGTCCCACACCTTGCATGTCAATGATGTCTACCACAAACAGCAGTGGCTCAACTGCCTACGCACTGCGATGGCCCAGCAACAGGAGGCTCCACCTAGAGTTCAGCAGGGAGAAGCTGTCAGAGCCAAACGGCGCTCTTCTGCTCGCTCAGCCACCGTCTATGATGAAGAGACAGACGAGAACTGTCCGCCTGTCTCTGGCCCTAAACTCAGGCCTCAGACACTCTCCAAAACCAGACTGGACCAGAAGTTACAAGGCTCAGTAAAGAGGAAGGAGACTGGAGTGTAGACATTTAACCTGACCTGATGGTTCTCAAATGGGTTCCTCTCAGACAGGCGCATGTATTCAACATGCCCCTTGTTCGTCACGTCATTGAATTTTCATGCAACCACTGATTTTGCGCTCTTGCTTCATCTCTGTAGCTGCACTGAAAAAGCCTTTCCAATCATTTCCGTCCAAATGTATATCAAATTTTAGTCTTAAAACGTGTAATTAGTTTACATAAAAAGTTATGTGCTAGTGTGACTGAAATAGATGTTTACACCAGCTTAATGTGTGTGGAATTAGGGTTTTCTGTGTCTACCTGAGCTAAAACAACCTAATACCACTTGTAGTTTTTTTTGTTTTGTTTCATCAATCATTTCAGTGTCACACATTTAAACTTTCCTTTTTTTTTTTTTTTTGCTGTAATCAAAATGTCAGAGCAGCTATAGTGTAAGCAGCATGTGTGCAGTTGTCTGTTGTAAGTGTTATGTGTGCAAAGATAAGGGACCAAGAAGAAGAAATTGTGATGGCCTCAGCTGTACAGGAAGCCGTTGAGTTCGAACAGCTAAAAATGTTGTGAGATTAGATACAAGATAATGACCAGAACCCTGACCATAGATAAGATAAGGTAAAACATTTCTTGGGAAAAAAATCAGACAAATCTACATGTATTCATTTGTGTTCAGTGGAAAATTGTTAATCATTGAAAAATAAAACACTTGTTTGTACTTTAAGAGTCCTGAGTGTGACTCACTGTGAGGTTATTGTTGTTGTTACAACACGTCTTCAGTTGTACTTTGACCCCTTTGTCACTTCCTTTTACTGTTGACAGAGCTGTTTGACATTATGTCGCAACATTTATAGGGCAAACAGAAGCTGAGCTAAAAACTGAACTTGACTCCTTTCAGACAGACTAGCTGTTAAAAATGATATATCTGTAATGTAGTTGTGTACATTTTCACTTGAAAATGATACAGTTGTAAAAAAAAAAAAAAGTCATCATTGCATTTTTTATTAGATCCATTTGAATCATCAAGTCACTTTTACTGGTAAATTATTTTCAGTTTAGAAGCACATTTGACTCCCATCTTCTACCTTCTCTCTGTCATCAGATGTTAATGACTGCATGGCGAGGCTTGTTGATGAATGGGCTTGATCGGCCCGCTAATCAGTTGTTTTGGCCTGAAAGGGTTCATTTTTACCTACATGTAAATGTCAATTTTTGTGTAATTAAATTATAGCTAAATATCAGTTGTAATGCCAGTGTTTGTCTGGTGTTTATACTCACTGTAAAACCGCTGATTATCCACTTTGGTGTATTAGAGTGACTGTCTAGTATTTTATCACTTGCTTATGATGAAGAAAATCTGTACAGAAAACAAAGGGGCCCCTTGCAAAGTGTCAGCTGTTGAACCTGCAGTATTTATAGCTCATGGTATGCCGCCAACACTAACAGCTTCGCTACAGCCTTGCTGAACATCTTCTTCAAAATGTAGTTTTCTGCTGAAATAGGACACTGTTGAATGTGTGGCTCATATGACCTGATCATGGCAGAAAGTCCATGCAGTCTTTCTGGTAGGGTTATAAACGCAACAGTTCAAGTAAAACTAATAGTTACGCAGCTACACTCCCTGGTATTTGTCTCCACCATGCTCCCACCATGGCCCTTCATGCTTTTTCTTGGTTGTGTGGTTCATGGTTCCCCATCACAACCCCAATGCCCAGTTCCTACACATGACAAGATCAAGGAAGTGAAATTATTTTTCATCAGAAAAGAGAAGAAAAAGTTTTTTACTATTATTTGGTTAACTTTGTAGTGTTACACATAGTTTACAAAAGTCCTGCAACAGTTTCTGCTGTTGGAAATGTGTGTTGTGTTCTATAAGTCATCTGGAGGAGTATTTTTTTATCATTCATACATTTGCATTAGTACTTAATTTTGTTGTCTGAAGTTAATCATTAATGCAACAGTTAATGTTTTCACAAATAGAGTGAAGGTCTCACAAATCTGAAGCTGTGTTTTTACACAGATACTGGAGTCTACTTGTTCACCATGTCCAGATTTGACAATTATAAATGTAACTTAAGGAGTTTTCAGGCCACAGCTGGTCTATTGGTGTCAGGATGGAGAAAAACACTGAAGTAGCCCTGTTTGTTTTCATAAATAAAAAAAAAGCTTGAACTAGAATACCCAACACCCTTTCAAAACAACAGGAGGTAATGAAAAGGGGAATGGGTCAGTACTTCAACTCATGGTGTATTGGTAGAAACTGATATTACAGGTTGTTGTAGTCGGGCGTGTCGGACAGGAAGTAGCAGCTCAGGCTAGCTGCTGTGATGATGGCAGGGGGCTTAAATACTAAATATTAATACTGAAATATTACACTTAAATTTGTCCTTATCCCTAATGCACTTTTTTCGTGCACTTCTTGTTTACTCTTTGCTTTTGCTTGAGCTGTTGGCAGGATTTATAGTGATGGGTCATACTCTCTGCAGGAGCAAATATTAAATTTTATACACAGGACATACTTTACCCCAAACTTTGCCAATAAAATCTATAACTTTGTCTCCCCAACTCTGTTTCATGTGTAAATCAGGGACAAGGACACTGATGCAACAAGGACTGTAAGAAAATACAGGCTTATTGGTCTGAGGTATATGAAATATGAAAAAAAAAATTGCTTTGTCTCCTCTTATATATTTGTTATACTGTAAAACACTCATAGGTTTATCCTGAACCTGACTGCTTACTGAACCTTCTCATTTACTTGGCAAAGGAATAAATTCTTGTTTCATGGTCACCTCTAAATGTGGCTAACTCAGATAGCTTGTCTGCTGCCACTGGAGAAACTAACATATGATTTACTAACAAATCTGCAGGACGGCTTCTTTACCATCACTTCTTTACCTGTGCTCATGTCATTCACAATCAACTGTCAATTTTTGTAGCAGCGGCTCATGTTGGGACATGCTGACTGAGTCAGACTGAATAAATACATTTTCGTTCTGTGCTTCATTTTCATTACAGATTGTCTGCCAATTGCTCTCATCTAATCTTCGGTAGTACTTTTCCTCTCTGCCTACCCTGATGTGCTAGGTGTTGGTTCTGTGATAACCTCGTTTTTTTTTCTTCCCTGTTTTTCTATTCTCTGCCCACTCTCTGTATGCCTGCCTGCTTTGTAAAGAGACTCTAGCTGTGATGCCTGTTAAAAGGGTTGTTGTACAGATTCCTTGCTGCAAATTCACCAGTATTGATAGACCAAAAGGTTTTGGTTAAGTTTTTTTTCACCCAGTCCTGTTCAGAAAATTGTCACTTGCTGTAAACATGTAGTCCCTTCAGGAGATTAATGCAAGAACTGGGCTTGGATAACTGTTCACCGACTACAACTGCTCAATCTTTCTTTAGCGATGTACCAACCATCTCGCCACTATCTAAAATGTTGAGGGACTGATGACTTGGCAAGGTTACCCAGATTTAAAGTCATAATGTAATGATTTGCTTTTTTACCTAAACTGTGCCTTTAATTTGTTAATTGATTTGCTAGTGCATCTTTGTGTCCTGGAGGTCTCACATTTTTGTTCCAAAGCTCCCTAACTAACATTTTCCCTTTCATTTTAAATGTATACAATACAGTTTTTGGATGTTTTTTTCCTAATGTTTCCAATTATTTAAATGCAGTATGAATTAATTAATTAGCAGAAAACTAACCAATTTTTAATTCTGAAGTTGTAAATTAAATTACACTAAAAGACACAACACAGAAAAAATGTTTTGGTCTATTTATTTACACAAATTTAATAGAGGTAGAACCATCTGTATTATTTACAAATTTACATTAAAAATATATAGTCACAGAATATATACAAATAAATACAAATCCTATTCAAAACACTTCATGTACCATCGAAGATATTGTATTACAGGATCTATGATGAAATCACACTTACATTCACACTTACTTGGTCATCATAAGCAAGCCAAGAAAGAAAAAAAGAAAAAACAAATACTGACATTAACTCTGACTCAAACGACTACAAGTTATGTGAAATGTTCCGTCGTGTTGCCAAAGCCTCTGAGAATTGACGGTGTTCAAGGTGTGTTCAGTCATTGCTGCTGCTGCTGCTGCTGATGCTTCTGCTCTGTTTGAAAGCGGGCTGGGCTATGCTGGAAATTATGTGAGGTGACTGGACTTTGTAAATTTGTAATGTACTACTTAGTGGTTAAGTTATAGTCCGTCCTGCTGTCACAAATGCAAATAGGTAACAGGAAAGTCTCTGCTTGATGGCCAGTCTGTACACGCCCACACAATTCTGAGAGGAGATCTGATCAGCCAGAATAATTCGAATCACCTGTGCAGGTTTACCACTGGTGTGCATGGTCTTTACTCGCTAGTTGTTCTAGTCTTTCACCCTTCACCCTTCAAACCCTCTTAACTACCAAGGGCAGCCATTTTTCTACTACCTGCCAAGGATGAAACAGCAGAGTTGAAGAAAATGAGTGGCTTCTGGAGAGTGAGTAAATATTATCGGCCAGAAAACACGTCTCCAGTCAGATGCTAGTGATACTCTGTGTCTGTTGAATGTATAAGAGAGCAGTTGTTTGCTAATGGGTTAGCAATAATACCTGCTAAGCTAATGATATATCTGGGCTGTCTTTCTGTTCCCTAATGGTCAAAAATCTATTAATGTAGCACAACGTGAATGAGCAAATTAAGCCCTTTTCAGTTTGCTTGGATCAACAGCCTGAGTATTTAAGCTAATGAAATCTCTGTGCACCCTACTAGTCTGGCAGTGTTCAGATTTTTCATCAGTGCTGTACCTCCTCCAACTTCAACATCCTATCATAAGACTTTTCTGAGAGATATCCACAGAGTCAGCAGGCATAACAGGTCTAGATTTAACCATCTTAGAGCTGCATTTCAAGTTTCTTGTAGTGATTAAATTTCAATAACTGGAGGTGGCATATAAGAAAGAAAACTAATGATGCGATTAGGTAAAGCCAGCTGGGAAACAACTTCACGTGCTCTTGTTCCGAGAGCCCTCCTAACAGCCACTCTGCTGATCTGCTGTAGACTGAGGGGAGTATCTAAAAAACACAAAACAACAGAGGTTATAATTCACTGATGCTCTTAGATGATCTACAAACAAACAGTGACGGGATGCACACTTCGTACACAACTTACTCTCATAGAACTCAAGGCAGAGGTAACAGGGAGATCCCAGACTGGTGTACTGGATGGGTTTTTTGTTCAGGTTATCCCTGGCATACACATTCCCCCCAAATTCCACAAGTAGCTCAACCAAGTCAAGGTTCTTTGTTTTGGCTGCATGATGAAGGGCAGTCTCATGTAGCTTGGCAGCATTAACATTTGCCCCTTAGGGAAAGAGAGACAGAACTACATGAGTGAGAGAAGTAGCTCTTTTGTCTGCAGCGTTTGTGTTTATAGATTAATTTTAAATTCCATAATAACTTTATAAAGGAATATCATTAGCAGTACACATGGAAACCAACTAGCTGTTACTCAAGCAATACTTAACCAGCTGAGTACAAAACTACAGTGTGAATGCAGCAGGCTCATTGTGCAGCAGTGAGCAGGCTCTCAGTTTGTCTGACTGTGGCCTGTAACTGTCAAATCAACTAAGAGACGCAATGAGCAAAAAAAACATATTGACAATTTGCAGAGGAGCAAGGAGATCTATAGATGTAATGTTATTCTTAGCATTAATTGTTAAGTTGGTAGTTACAGCATTAAAACCACTTTAGGCCATTGGTGAAGTCAAAATTTCACAGCTTCGTCTATGTGACTTGGTCCATGTTAATGACTGCTTCAACCACTGGATAACAAAACGCAGACAACAAACGTGCTGCTTCACTTCACTCTCTTAAAGTGTATCACTCTGCCAGTCTAAGCAATTAGTAACACTGTAGGCAAGGTGTACAATTATATACTGTATATACTATCTACACATAAATAAGGATATTTCAAGTTGTAAAATTGATATAATGACCAGTAATAATATAAATCATCTCGATTAACATTAGTGGAATAAAGCGATTTACAAAGTAAATCTTTATAAAATGCAATCTCATTTTACAGTAATATCGATACTGTGATATGGAGACTGAACAATTGAGTTTGTAGGGGTAATGAGCTAGTTACTGTAACATCACGATTTACCTTAAATGTTGTCGTTTCTCAGATTCTCAGATCTCAAAGCATTTTTTAAAAATGTTGCTGACTGATTAATCAATACCAAAAATATTCTTTACTTGCAGTTCTAACAACCAAAAAATCTCTTAAAAAGTATTCATATCCAGGTTGTGACCCAAAAATATTGTTACATTTAATTTTACCTATTTCTGGTTTGCAGTAGATTGACATGGACTCACCTGAATTGAGCAGGACTTTAGCGCAGTCATAGTGTTGCCTGGCACAGGCTACGTGAAGCGGTGTCCCATAGTGGCAGTCATGGGCCTCCATGAAAGCTCCTTGATCAATCATGAGCTGAACACAATCCGAATTACCTATTTTGAGAGACAGGCAAATTTTTTTCTATTTAGAACTAAATTAAATACTCTGCAGCATATCGTCTTTCCAAGCACAGCTGGGGAAAAAAAACCCGGGAAGCAAGAAGGCACTCATTTCCTGTGCAATTGAAAAGTGGCTGTAAAACATTTGTGGTTTTGTCCTTCGCAGAGGACGGGAGCTGGTGTACAGCTTGAATAGATTTTGGCTGAAGTTGCACTATATAGCTTTCTCCTTATCAGTCATTACTGTTTTCAGATCAATAATGCAATCGTCCCAGTAGGTTTCAGTGAATATTACCAGCAAGGCTATGATCCCACAGTCTTACTGGTAATTGTGTCATTGTTTTTTTGTTTTTTTTTATTGCTACATCTTGAAAGGCTTTTAAATACACTACGTCTGGGAGAAACTGTCTAAGTTTGCTATGAAAAGAGACATGTTCAAATGTTTTCCAACTGTTTACGAAGTGGGTAAAATTAGATTTGTGCGCAACATTTCCCTCCCCAGCTTCTTACATATAGTCTATGCTCCCAGCACTATTTAATGATGAGGAACATTTTGTAGTTAAGGCCTGCCTTAATTATTCTAATTTATTTGAGAACATTATAACCTGTGTTCACTCTTTCCACAAACATAACTTGTTCTCCCAGATTTTTGTCCTGTACTAACACAGTACAAACACTGTGTGGAACTCAGTCTGGAAATGTGAGACCAGTGAAGAAAAGACACACAATGCACAGATACATAGCTCTACACATATTCCTATCAGTATGTTCTATCTGAAGACGCACCTCCCATGCATGCCTCATGAAGAGGTGAGAATGTAAACAGTGGAGGGTTAACTGTTGCTCCATACTCCAACAGTAGCTTAACACATTCAAGGCTACCAGCTGCACAGGCGTCACACAGTGGAGTGCTACCATCGATGTTACGAGCATCCACCTGTAGGACATAGAGGCATAATGAAGTCACACATACACCATATGTCAATCATGTGCCAATGACGAAAGCCATTAACTTGCCTTGATCCTCTTGTGAAATGATCTTGTTGTCGAAACGGTTCTGACATTGGCTTACCTGCGCACCAGCGTCCAGCAGCAGTCTGACACACTGGGTCTGTCCCTGTATACACGCCTCGTGCAGCGGGGTGATGGAGTCAACAGCCACGATGTTAACTGCTGCCCCTCCCTCAATCAGTTGCTGCAGCTGGAGGGCTCTGCCCTGTGCAGCGGCCTCGTGCACTGCTGACCGGTCTGTCCAGAATCCAAGACCATGAGCTGCAAATATGTGAAACCAAACAAAGACTGAGCCTGTCTATTCATGATGTTTACATTTTGTGGGTGTTGACTTATGATTTATACCTAATCTCTTCAAGTTCATTTAGTCAATCCAATTGTGCAAATGTGCTGAAATATTGTTTCTTTTTTGTTTAGCCTCAACCACAGTGAGATTTTCATACAATTCCTTATAAAACATGAAAAAAGTATTTATGTAGGTCAGTAATTTTACTAGTGTAGTAAAATAACTGCAGTTCAAAGACTAAATTATGATGTGCTTTATTTCAGTATCTACTATAATATGCACATTAAGCAACTGTGGTTTAAATCACCCAGGTTTGTAAGCTTGACATGTTTTACAAATCATGACCATCCTACTCATTAAATGGTACAGAAAGGGTCACAGTAAAGATAGCATGTATAGTACGATCAAAGGCTGAAACTAACAATTATTTTCATGCATGCTGCTTATTTTCTCGATGAATTGCTTTGTCTATAAAATAAAATAAAAAACATAAAAATTCCAATTGCAATATCTTAGAGCATATGGTGACATCTTCAAATGTCGTTTTGTCCAACCAACAGTCAAATACCCAAAAAATATTCAATTTGCTATAACATAAAAACTGAAACCACCAAATATTTAAATATAAAAAGACTTAAACGATTGATCGATTATAAAAAAAATAGTTGCCAATTAAATGTCTTTCGATTGAATAGCCAATTAATTGACTAATCATTGCAGGTCTGGTATGATCCAAGCCATCATAATAGTACAATAGTATATTGGATTGTATTACATTGTAATGCGTATGTTATAAGGTCCACTGACTTGTACATTCACAGGGTCGATGCTTTGCGACATAAATCCCTATTGAAGTATTTCACATTTGCTGTCACAGAGAAAAGCTGAGTCTAAGATTGTTGTCCATTCACTGATTTTAATTGCACAGCATGCACTTTAGTGTCCGGTGGCCTCACTAACGAGCTTACAGCTTGCTGCCATGCTCTCAAATTAACAACCACTTTAAGGAAGCATGCTAACTGACGGGGACCTAGCTATACGTCCGACCGATACGAAAAGATAGTCAACATGAAATTAAAACTAGTGACAGCTGGTTTTATCGCAGCTACCAAATCCATCCGACCCTTCGCTCAGTTAAAGCAGTTAAACGGTTGTCTTGGGTTACTGTTGGTCACCAACTGTAAGCTCCTTACCGATTTCTCCATACAAGGACGGTCTGGCCCGAGTGATCTCCATTTCATGTTACCGTTTCCTTCTCCGTGAACCACGTAGATTCAGCCAAACATGTAATTCATTTTCGAGCAAAGGAATACAAACTGAAAGGTCTGCATTGTTATAAAGAACACACCGGGCAGCCGTCTGCTCTGTCAGAGTAGTTGAAGTGCAGTCCAAATAAACAATGGTGTGGAATCCTGGGAAATGTAGGCGACTGACCTACAAAGGAGGCGACCATTGAATCATCTACAGAGTTAAAGAAAATAGCACACAAACAAATACTTAAAAACAATGCTAAAGAAATGATTTATATGTTTATTTGTTGACTTAATTAGCTGCATATTTCCTCCAAGTTTCCAGAGTGTGGAGTTAGCTAGCTCGCTAATACCAATATAAATAACTAGCTAGCTTGTTTTGTGTTTTTAAAAGCTAACATGTCTATCTTTAGCTATTGTGACACTCACTAAGACATAAGATGCTGTGACCATGACTATTAAGAGAGCTATTTATTTATTATATATTAATTAGCACATGCAATGCTTGCCTACATTTCTTATGGCAAATTCAGCAACATCGCAATCACTTATTCCTTTTTACATTTGGCAAACATTTGTTATACGTTCAGTGTGGAGAAGGAAAAGTTGTTATCCTCGAATTCCAATGTTATCACATATTGAAAATTATCCCACACCACAAAAGGTGTTAAGACTTTTTGATCAACTATGTATTTATTGCAATTTTGATTTGAATGTTTCAATAGTATGTAGGCTACACAAACTAATCACATTTTAAAGATTGCATAACACACATAGTTATGAAAGACACTGGATTGTATGTGTCATTTCATGTCAGTAGTGTCAGTTAAAAGTCATTTGGATTTAGTTGCAAAGAAAAACACCAAAAATCCCCATATCATTGGAGTGGCCAACCCTCAATAGTTCCTTGCTTGCTGCAGTTAAATATGTTTTGTTGTAGACTAAAATGGCTAAGCAACTCCTGGAGTTCCCCTTGGTAAAACATAATGTTTAAGCAGGTGCATGCTGCCTTGTTGTCTTACATATCTGGGGTGTATGAGCTGAGATTTTGCAAGTTGCTTGCAAGTTGCACATTACTTTGCCCCAACTGAATATAGTGAAACAGCAATAACCTCTCTAACCAATTACAACCAATTGTAACACATCTGATCTGTATTCAAACAAGGTTTTTATGCATTTTTGTTTGGACCAAGATGTTAAAGTACACCTAATTCTTCTTTGAAGTCATCTTCATAGCAAGCATCAACACTGAAGATGTGTGACTATAGTTGCTATATTGCCATTGATATTTCCTGTTGTTGTACATCTGGTAATTCTAAATGCCCAGCAACATAATAATGCTGCTTATATTTGTTTGTGTTACATGTCTTGCAAATTAACTAACAAAAGTTTCCAGTCAGACTTTGTAGTTGTCTAGGGTCTATACCACAACCCATGTGCAAGTAAATACGAAATATTTCTGGTCTGACAGGGGCATCAGACCCCCCCCCCCCAGCACACACACACACACACACCACACACACACACACACACACTCATATATATATATATATCTATATATATATAGATATATATAGATATATATATGTCGTAATCCTTCCCTTTGGCTAATTGTTAGAGAATGCAGAAACAGTGAAACAGTTGGAGCTTGTGAGATCTTTTAGGTTCCATCAACACACTGTTATCGGTGAACAAATGCTGTTGTAACCACTTAACATCAATCAGTAAAATTTGGTCAGAATTCAGTATTATGGCATTATGTTTTGTGTTAATCTCACAGGCAGTTTCCGAAATTGTATGTCATGCACAAACAACCAAAACAACTTGAGTTGTATTTGCTCATATTTCATTGGTGCATATTTCATTGTGGTTACATACTAAATGAAAAATGCATAAATAAGATTCTCAGCCACAACTCTTGCAGAGTTAGTGTATTTTAACATGCAGAGATATGTGGCAAATATCAACCGTGTTTGAGCTGAGGTGATTCTGGCCCGAGGAGGCAGTTGTGTTGCTTGGGAACAGCAGAGCGTCAACCTTTTCACAACAGGTTAAGATGAGGCGCTGCAAGATGTGCATTCTCGCAACCCCCTTTGGCCCTGCAGTGAAAAGCCTTATTGGCTAGTGGGAGGCCGCTTTAACTGTTCCCCCCTGTATTCCAGTGGCCATATTTCAGCTAAATTTGATAACTATATCCAGCTTGCAGTACCACAATACTCCTTCATATATACACATTAATACAATATTCTTGTTAGTTTTTTAGATGGTTGCAGACATTTTCTGGTTCTGCTTATAGTCAATTTAAATTGGTCCACCAACTCTTCAGAGAAATGTTGGGTCATTTCAGTATGCTCTGATGGCTTTGTTATTTGCCGCTGGCAGGCACATTACCAACAAATCCTTCAAATGAAACAACAAAATACATTGTCAATCCATGCCCTCTAGAACGACACATTTTTTTTGATCTGACGCCCCTATCAACAGGACAATGTGAGTTGTCTTTTCCTTATATAATCATGATGTAATAATGCTATGTTGAAGGTTCGGTAGGGGAAACACTGCGGTTCGAGTTAAAATGACTACTTTGCTTAAGTTACGGGAGTGTTGTTGTCACGATTGCAATAATAAACCCTTGGTTAAGATTATAGAATAATCATACTCATGATTTTTTCTTAAATGTTGAGTGCTGGTTGGAAAAGGGAAATGAAAAGTGGCATTGACACTACTTTTAGCGAACAATCCCACAATGCTGTGCTGTATTTTAAAGATGTGAAAATTACTGTTGCTCAACAACAGCTGTCAGAAATTATACAAAATGATGGTAAATAAATGTCAGAAATCTTAATTTACAGCTAACTAATGAGTAAACTACTGAGTATCCATTTTATAGGGAGAAATAAATGAGTTAAACAGCCATGGTTTGCTTAGTTTGGTGGTGAGAGCCCAAAGACTCAACCATACAAGCAATGTATGGGACCAGAAAGCTAGAGGTGGAAGTGGTTTAAAACTGCTGGATTGCTTGGGGGTTAATTGATTCACAGCTGCTTGGGCACAAGGTCATTACCAAAAATATTCTTTAATCATGCTTTAAATGCTCATTTACCTCAAAAATAAGCACTTTGAACCATTTGACAGTGACAGGACAGCCATTGCTCAATTTTCTGTCAGAAATACTGATTTATTCACACAAGTGGAAATAAAACTTGGACCCAAAGATGGTGCTGTCACTATGTTAGTGCTGGCAAAACTGTTCAACGGATCATTCTGAGAAGATGAATTTCATGGCATATATGTAACTGATCCTTACGTCCTCTGTCTGTACAGTTTTATTGAAACACACTGAATTGTAGAATACAGTGTAAGCCTCCAAAACCGGACACAGGTTTTACCACGTTTGGGTAAAAACGTTAACAGTGTCAAATTGTTTATCAATCATTCATTTTTCAAGAGAAAGCGGATGCAGACAGGAGAAGTGAAAACCGCAGGCTCAAACTAACCTCGCCATAGCTTTAACAACTGCCTCGCCACCACCAGTTTGGTGTCAGACTTTCAAGATGGATGCTTTCGTCTCGATAGGTTTCTGTTTCTTTTTCGAAACGGACCTTACATGCGCTGATCACCCATGAATGGTTGCACGTTGGAGACTCGTTCACTATTAAACGGATTTCTTAGCTGTGAAGCGATAAAATTGGATTTTAGTGGATATATTTGGTCCTACACGTTTGCACTGTCGTCTATTTTGTAACTTCCTGGTTGTCGTATTAATATGTCTGTCGAAACTGCGGCTAAAGCTCGAGTGACTTTGAAAGGATTTTTGGACACAAGATACATGGGACTTTATAATTCCGTTGTAATGTTTAAAACCAGAGACAATTATTTTCAACGAAGGGCAAAGGGAGAGCGACAGATTTCGTAAGAGTTCAGCAATGGAAAGTGGAAATGGTGGTGCCTCGAGTAAAGGTGACGAGCCTTTTCTTCCTTTAACTTTAACTTTAACAAGAAATGTGGCGTGGATATTTATTTCCCCACATATACCTATCATATAGACACATTATTTTTATATGAGCCGACGAAAAATGACGAGTAGAGTATGTCGTCTCTCACAGGACAAATAGTCCTAAGCTTGTGAAACTTTTTTCTAGTAAGCTAAACGCAGTGTGCTCTATTTTCGCTATGTCGCTTATGTATTGTGCTCATACTTGTGTTTTTGTCCACTTTTAGGTGTTTCAGAGCCTGTTTCAGACACTTCTCACGTCTTTCTAAACAGTATTTTGGCTCCACTTCAAAGTGCGTACTTATATGAAGAGTCAAAGCAGTCTTTCAAGTACAAGTCCGCTGTCTTGGTAAAGAATCCAGTTCTGGAAGAAAAGGTCTGTTTACATCTTATTCACTTATAACAGAAAACTTTCCAAAGAGTAAAGAAGACATGAAAAAACATCAACTTCTCTTAAATGAAGTGGAAGGAAAATGGCATTCGATAGCTTTTCATTAAACGGATTTTTATTTCTCTTTACACCAGTATAATGCCTTCCGAGCAAAGAGAAGAGAAGCAGGATATTCAGAGGAGGATTTGAAGGAAACCTATGGCTTTTTACTGTTTGACGATGTCAACAAGGTACAGACAAAATACACTGCAACACCTGAGACAATACATGTTTCTACAAATCTTCCAGTCATGCTGACATTGTTATTTTTACTCGTTTGAAGGCTCATGCAGTCCGAGAGACTGGTGTTCTCACAGGAAATGGTACATGTACAACTCTGGGGGATCCTTGGAAGGGTAAATTATTATTGTTATACTTCCTCAAACAGTCACTATGTCTAACAGTGGTGAGCTCACCAGAACAGTTAAATATGTGGGCTACAGCTACAATTGCTGTAACATAACTTAAATATACTTACTGGTTACATGGTGAAAAAAATGTAAGTAACTACATTAAACCTTTCTCATTTATTTAAAGTCTTTTATTAAGTTATTACCTTGATGGCCACATCCAGGACATTGTCCATAGCATGCACACTGTCTGTAGTGAAGTATCTGTTGTGCAGGGCCGGTTAAGCAATAGTCCATGTTGAGTGCCTGGTGCTCCTCTGCCTTACAAAAGTGAAAGCAAGTTAAAGTGCTTTATGAATGTATAGAAATGAAAGTGGAAGACTTTGCTGTGAAACAGAAACTATCGTGAAGTTCAGGATATGGAGGGTGTTGGAGGCAGACGGACAGTGTTTTCATTTAACTGTTAAACTACACACTGCAACACTAATCTCACTTAATTGTAACATTCACATTTGCTATATGCTATATATTTTGCCTTATAACTTCAAGTTAGAAATGTTGCTTCTCAAAATTTTCTGTATTAGGCTTCTACCTGCTCTAGGCTGTGATAAGTGTAGGAGATATCAGGTATAAACATTAGTCAAAGTCCTTTTATATGTAGCTGTTTTTCAGTGGACAGTAGTATGAAATTACACTGAAATGGAGCACAAAAACAAGAGCTCCACTGTGTCACAAGTAATTAAAGGTAGCAGTGTTGCATGAGGATAATCTGTGTTCTATTTAACATCCATTCCTCTTTTGATCTGTTCTAGTTTTTTTTTTTTTTTTTTTTTTTTTTTTTTATATATACAGGTTACAAATTTAATTTAGCAGATTTCCTTTTATACCTTCTTATAACAAACACATGGATTCCTAACATTAGACTACTAACTTTCTTTATGGATCAAAGAGACATTTGGGAATGTTATACTGGCATTGTATTATAGGATTTGTCATTATTTTCCTCACTTTTGACAGCAGACTGCCGGTGAGGGAGTACAAAACCCACCAAACCTGCCAAACCAGTCATTGGCCGTTTGTTTTACCTCCTATGTTCAGATTTGTAACTTGTTGTTTTAAAACTTAACCGAATGTCAGTCTTTGTCAATTGTCATTTTTCAGTGCATTTTAATTATTTAAATTTACTTGTTATATTTTAATAACCTGGGATCTGAAGTCCTAATCATAGTTACTTGATTGCACTTTTTTGTCTCACTTAAGAAAAGAAACTATGTTGTAAGACATGTACAGGCCTATAAAAGCAGCCTTCAGTATGGAAACAGAAATGCACAACCCATATCTTTCAGCTGGCTGATGTCAAACTCCTGTCAATCAAGCGAACAAGGTCCAAAATATCCCTCTTTTTAAGCCTTAATTAAAAAAGAAAAAAACATTTTATTTTATTTTTAAATCCCCACCAACACACATTATAAGAAGTGAAAGTAACTTAGTATAATGAATTGGGAGGCAAAATCATTAGTAGTTACTTTTATTGAACTTCAGTTATATTCTAGGACACATTGTAACTTTGTTGTGAGTTCATGTTCAGTCACAGTGTGTCCTTGACAACTGTGAAACATTCATCTTTCAAGGTGTGGCTGTGCTGCTATAGGAGTGTCAGTTGTTTGGAAAGCCACTTCAAAGTTATTAGTTAAACATTGTAGTTTTTTATGATGTCCTCGAATCTTAACAATTTACCCTCCCTGTGTTAATCTCTACCTTAATACATATTAAGTGAAAATTTTCTGTGTTTACTCAGGTGTTTACATATCAATGTACTCTGACTGTTTGGATCTGAATCGCTGGTATCATGGGAAATCTGGATACATTGCCATCATCAGGCTGACAAAGGTATTGAAAAATGGGAACTGTGAAATGGTTGTGTGGAGAAATGTGGTAATTGAGTTTTCTTTCATAGAAAACATATTATATTATGAATTTAATCATTGTCCTTTGTGGTTACCACCAGGGGAGAGTTAAAAAGGTTTTAGAGAACTACACTCAGAATTACACAGCACCCACTGAAGGGTTTGACTGCCATGTGTCAGAACAGCTGCCCTCGGTGTCTGCCCAAACCAGCTCCTTTCTTGCTTTTGAGAGAACCCAGGTAAGAGATAGCATGTGTCATGTGCCAGCAATTTTAATTTTGTGGATTTACTTAATTTGTTAATTGATTTGATTGCAACAACAATGGTCACTGTGCAGATATTTTTCACTGCTTCAGTCCTCACTTTATATAGAACTATAACTGTACAGAAATGTCAATGCATGCAAATAACACTGTAACACACTATACTGATTTAATCAAATCATTGCACCTTTCACTAGTATTGTATCGGTCCTCAGGTGTTGTGGTAGTGGCATCTATGGTTCTTTCTTATCTGACTGTGTGTAGATGCATAATTGAGCACAGTATTGTTGTGCACCTTAATACATGACATTATGTTAAGAAGGAAGCTCATGTACCTCTTGTTTTGGTCTTGCAGTATTACATGTATGAGCTGTTAGGTGATGGAAGCAATGAAACGGCTCAGTCTCCCAGTGCTGCCTGTCCTTTTGCTATTGTATCGTTTTCATATACGGACACCAAATCAACACTTGTAGTACAACAGGAGGCAAGGTACTGCAACACATGCACTATCCTGAGAATTATAGTATCTTTCTGATTTAATACAATTTAATACAATATTTAAGTTATATTGATTCATTGTTTTCTAATTTTTATTTTCAGTGAGGAGGACAAACAGGGTAAGTAACACATAGCAAACCTATCAGTGTTTCTCCATATACTTTGCTGTCAAAAAGATGCCACAAAAACAGCCCACATTTGCCTCTCTTTGAAAAATATGTAATCAAACCTTACACATAGCTATCCTGTCATGAAAGAATATTACACCTAGCACAATTTTAAATAATGGCAGTAATTTATTTGTCAGTTATTGGTATGTGAACATACACTGACTGGCCACTGTTGGGTACACCTACACAATCTATTGCAATCCAATAAGACAGCTCCGTCACATACTCTATCTTTATGAAATTTATAATTATATAAATTTAATTTCACTTTACAGGTGTACCTAATAAAGTGGTTACTGAAAATAGACCAATGAACATGCAAATAACTTTTTAATAGTTGTTGAATTTGATGACTTTATTTCAGATTATCATTACTTACCCTGGAGGGGTCAGCTTCAAATAGCCAACCAGCTCTATAATGTTGCTCTGAGATCTACAGCAGGGGCCTTGATTCCTACAAAACTGTAAGTTAAATGTGCACATAGAAAATACATACTGTATTATTGACTTGAATCATTTAGTTATATAATTTATATTCAATGTTTTGTCTTCTTTCCATCTAAGGCCACCAGTGGTCAAAGTTGACAGAGCCATTTGCATGTCAGATCTCACACAGCTGTTGCCGAGGACTGTCTTTGAAACGTGCTTCTCTGGTGAAGGTGTGTTGTCAAGATGTCAGAAAAATATCTTTATTATCCAAGAGTAACATTTTCAAGGAATGTTACAACATAATTCCTGGATTTAGTGAATGTATAGGAAAAATTTTTGATTTTTTTTTTTTTGCTGTCTTTCAGTCTTTCTGGATGGCCTATACTGCAGTCTGTGTGAGCTGATTACTTCTGAGGCGGAAGAAAGCAGCTCACTCTCTCTTCTTCTGCAGCAGATCAAGGAGAAAGATCTTGTGAGTGTGTTTATTACAACCTTTTAGAGATTATGAGGGTTAGTCATTCCTTCCATAAAAACAAAAACAATGACAAATCATGATTAATCAGAGCCCAAAATGGTGTCTTAAAATTGTATAAACAGTTTGGCTATCCATCACAAACCTTAAGTATGAAAACAGAGAACCAAGCAAACCTGTCCATTTTCACAGCAGTTACGAGCAAATGATTTTGGTGTTTTTCTTTTATCAAAGAATGATAAAAGACATCATTTTATCATTATGAAGTAAATGTTGATTCCACAGTGTAATGGCTATAGAATAATGACACCATCTGGGTTTAGATTGGTTCCCTATAAGCCTGGCTTTCACTTTCACTTTGAGGAGAGCTCCTGGACTTGAGAGGGTTCAAAACCGACATTCAGTTGGTATTATTTCTACTAAATCATTAACAAAACATGCCTACTTCTTAATACAACGGAGGGTTTTACTCTTCCTTTGTCATTGCACCAAGATCGGGTTTTCTAGTTCAGATTGACATTCTTACGATTGTTTCTTGTTTTGGAAGTGGTAGCCATGTTGCTAACACTACTGCTAGCAGTCAGTTTCCTGGCAGTGACCCTTCTAAAATGAGCAGTGGTGAAACGTATTATATTCTTTGGGACAGCGGCGCCAATATTAATACCACTTGGAAATGTTAGGGGGGAAAGTTGTCTACTGTCATTTTAATTGAATGTTAAAGTTGTCATTTGTTACTTTTCTGGCAATTCACTAGTCAATCACAGAATAGTCTCAGGTATGGAAATGTCCTATGCATTACAACAGTTGGTCTCCTATTTACATCATTTTGCATTGCATAATAAAATGTGGTGGGTTTGACTTGATATGTAACATTTAAAAAATGACAAACCCATTTCTGCACAGGCTCTCCCTGTTCCACTGAATGATGGTGGTTTTCTTATCCTGTTGCACTCCTCCCATTTCCTCACATTTGATGGTAAGATATAAAAATGATGACAGCGTATGATATTATCAGTCTCATTACGAAATTACAGAATTCTATCTTTGTTAACAGCCATAATTCAGTTTTACCAACATATCTTTATGTTTCTTTTAGACAATGGATCAAATGCAACTGAGGTCCTGCAGGGCATGTTCTTCCACAGGCTCACGGGTGATACAAAGAGGTGATTTCAGCATGCATTTACAAGTGTTTACAACCTTATGTTTCTCACGTGCCTTAAAAGATTTGGCAATTGCCCCACTCAATGACACTTGTAGTTTGTGTTGATTAGTAGTAATGGCATTCAAGGAAACAAAAGAGGAGATTAAACAAATATTCTTTCTTGATTTATCACAGGTACAAAATGTGGACAGAGAAAAGCAACTATGTCACCTGAAATTCTCCAGGTTCTACCAGTACTATGTTATGCAGAGGGTGAAGCTGAGAAGACGCCCTTTGACCCAAGTGAAGAACTCTGTGAAGTGTTGGTGCAGCATATGCAGAGTTACGCAGCATTAATAAATCCTGGGTTGGCATTAAGTCCCTCAAGGGAAGTAAGCATCTTTCCAGATCAGTATGATGTGCCGGATGCACACAAACACCTCTACTCATCCCCTGAGTGGACTAACAGAGCATGGCAGAGCTTCAAGTCATACATGAGCAATCCAGTCTCCTTTCAACTACCACTGTCCAAGTCTTCAGAAATCCTGGCAGCTGGACAAGAAGAGCGAAGAGAAGATCTTGATGATGATGTCTACATCTGTCTGTCATCTCCTGAGGAGGCACTTGCCAATCCTGTTGACATGGGGTCAGAAGACCAGTTGACTGACCAGAAATTTCCTGTAAATGTTGAGACATCCGTTGACAGTGGTATAACAAGTGTTGAAGCACAGGTTGACTTCACAGCTGATGTTCCAGCAGATGATTTGCAAGCCAGAGATGAAACCAAAGACAATGATAAATCTGGCCTGTCTGTACTAGACAAAACTGATGACACAGGGGCAGGAAATCTCCTGACCCCCCCTACATCAGATGACCTTTCAGCAGAGCTGATTGTCAGTATCACTTCAGCAGAGCAAACTCTCACTGATGAGAGTTTAAGTGTGATCAGTACTGTGTCAGCAACAAAGCAAAATGACTTTCAGCTTTCTGGTTTTTCAGCAGCTAAATTGCAAACAGCAGGAGCTAACGCTCTGCATGATGACACTGTCAAAATCAAAATTAAAGATTGCCCTGAGGTCACCAATTTCACAAAAACAAAAGGGAGGAAACTACATAGGGGACCTTCCAAAGGTTTGAAAAAAGCATCTAAAGCTAGTGTTGAGACTCTCAGTTTGCAGACTGTCAAAATACCAGGGGAGGATGACACCTTCCCAAATCAGAAGGATGACCAGGCCAAGGAATCATCAGGCCACTCAAAGCTAATCAATCCTTTGAAAGTTGATTGGAGAAAATTACCAAGGCGAAAACGCAAATTTGGAAAACTGTCATCTAGAAATAAGAAAGTGAGATCTGCTACTGTTGCTTTAGCAGTAGCAGATGAAAAAAAATCAGCTCCTGGACAGCAGAGCTTGGAGGGCAATATTTTAATGGAACTTGAAGTTTGTCCTTTGAGAAAGAAAACTGAGCGCTGGGACTTAAAGCCGGTTATCAGCGTATGTGGAAGGATCTTGGTTCCTTTTGGCTCTGTAGATTTTGCTGCTCAGATTAAGCTTTTAAAGGATAAACATCAGTGTACAAAAGATCAACAGCACCCTGAAGAAATGTTGGTTGATAACTCTGTGAATGCTCATGACAAAGATGAAATGGAGCAAGACTCTAGCACTGCCCCAGAGACAGCAGTGGACGAAACAGAGGCCACAAAATCCAAGGATGGAGGGAACCATCTTCAAAATGTTGTCGGCAGTATTAATACTGAACATCGACTTCTGAGACAATCACACGACGGTTCATTGCCTTTGAATCCAGAGAGTAGTCAGCATTCTTCAAAGAATAATGGCACAGACAATCCCCCCTCAGAAGCAGTTAAAGAAAAGCACACTGATACCTGTTCCCAAGCAAAGTGTGCAACAAAGGGAGAATTTCTGTTGAGTAAACTAAAATCAGTTCTTTTAAGGGGAAAGAGAAAAATTGATTTCCATGTGTCAGAAGGAACAACAACAGTTACTGCCCAGAACACTGAGCCTTGTCTCAAGAAGGGCAAAGGTGACTCTGATGCCGAGACATTGAAGGGTGATAATGCAGTTTCAAGTGTACAGGACACAAATGTGGGTGTGAACGAAGTTTCAAAGATGCAGTCAGTTGATCCTTTATTTGCATATGCCCTAGGCCTGACCCCTAAAGAGAAACCTAATAAGGCACAGAAAAGTGAAGGTCAGGATTCTCAACTAAGGAAAGACTCATCAGAGACACAAGAACAAACTATTCTAGACAAACAACCTCAAATCATACAAAAGCCTCCATCAATTTTCCCAAGAAGGGGTAGGATTAAAACACTCAAAAAGCATCAAGGCATCTCTGCAGAATATATTAAAAAGAAATGTAAGTCATATTTTAAAATTATTGGAATGCATTTTTGTGTATAATGAGTAAAATCCTTCCAGTATTGTGCATGACATTAAAACTAACTGACCCTTTTCTTGGCTATTACCTCTGCAACTGTCCTTAGCATGCTATCACTGCACTTTGCCAAGTGTTTGCTAATTCTGAGTTTGCCTTTCCTCTTCTCTTGCTTGTGCTGCATTTTTGCCAGTCCTATCCATCTGCACCTAAAGAAGGCATAACAAATGGATTCCTTTGTTTGAAACAATGGCATAGTTTACATGTTGGTTACAAATTCTTAATAGTAATATATATTATTATTATTATTATATATTATTATTATATTTTTATTTTCATGCAGTTTCTCTTTTTTTCTCCTCTGTTTTGTCTTCACAGGGTGGTTGCATTTTCAAACCCCAGCTTGTTTTACCACTGAAAATCTCAAAAGCAAAGAGTGTACTAGGGATAATTCTGTCAGGAAGACTGTTAAGGAAAAAATGAACAGTACTTGCTCATCTACAGATGCTTTGAACTTACTTGCTGACTTGGCACTCGGTGCCAGTAATGACCAGGTTCCACCACAACCAGACCCAGCACTTGAGAGAAAACCTGAGACAAGTTTGAAGAAGTGTGGCCTTACAAAAGATGTTGCCAGTGCTGAACAAGACTCAGTTCTTCATGCTCTGCTTAGACAGCCTGCTGCTAAACCCATTCAACTTTTTGAGTCTCCTTTACCAAGCAATCTTGTGGGAGAAAGTGAATTAGTTGGTTTAATATCTAAAGAACATGCCTATTCATTGCCCCCGTCTTCCCCTCTGCTGTTGGGTTTGCCAGGTACACCTTTCCAGGTATCCCCTTTAAGTGGTTCTACCAGACTGCTGCACCCTCAACAGCAGTTGTATGGCGATGGAATTCAAACACTACAACCCTCTGTTTGTCAAGAAGACAGAGATGAACGAAACCACAGGACTCCAGAATACCTGAAAAAACATATGGTGCGCAGGAGAAAGTTCAGACACTCCCGCACATTTGTTAACAAGGGTGCATCTGTCCAAGTCACAAGGCAATGGAATGAAAACTATGACTTTAATCGAGACAGCAAGTTTTCAAGTGACGTAAAGGACAGAGCAATCGTTCGAGCCTTGCATGGGTATGTATATTGTGTCATTCATTGTCATTTATGCAAAGAATCTCAGCATATAAGATAAAAATGTTTCTTTACACATACTGTCAATTCTATACTTGTTGTATCTAGTTGACGTGTCGCCAATATGCAGTTGACTTTTAGTTTAGATGAAGTTATTTCACTAAAACATCTAATTTTTGTACACCTTCTATAGCCCGTGGGATTTCTCCACTCAGGACACCACTGAGGAGGTACGGCTCATTGTCCACATGTGGATAGGTCTGTTTTATAGCCGGTCAACAGCCAGATTCTTTCACGTGGACTCGAACTTTGCATATTCAGAAGAGAGTGATTCTTTGGAAATGTCCAGTAAAATGTTAGCAGCAGCACCAGCTCACCCTGAAGGGCCAGCCAAGGGAAATTCATGTGGTACTTTACCGAGTTTAACAGATACTCAAGACCCCTCAATTTCAAAAGCCCTGGACCTCAGCAAAAAAGATGTCTTGGACTCTGTCTTGGACCAAGGATCTGTAATTTTGGACTTGTCAATGAGAAACGGTGGTGGAGAGATTGTCACTTCAGATCCACAAGTCAACAAAGAACAGACTTCTGTGTCCGGTGAACAGACAGAAGCAAGTGAAACATCGAACGCACTCAAGTCATCCGTGGGACCACAGGAGGCAGACACATTCCAGGTTTGAGTCTAAAGTTACTGTTAAACTGAAGGTACACTATTACACAATTGATGTTTTTGTCATGATTTTCAGTTGGTACGCAGGATATAAAATTATCTAAGTACAAGTTTTGTGTGCTTGTAATGTAATAATAAGGCATACAATCATTGGAGTAATTAACCATAATACCTATAAAAGAGCTATTGAAGGTAATAGACTGAATTGGAAGGAACAATCTGCAGTTTTCCAACAGGGTGCTATGGCATTTGAATGGGAGTCACAAACTCTCATTACGACTGATTCACTTTCTGCAGATCACCTCAGACCTTCTCAAAACTGTTATCTCTACAGCGGAAACTTTGAACAGAACTCGCTCGGTCCTCATGTCTGATCTCAGAGTTCATGTAACTATCCCATTTAGGCCATTTATAGACTGTGAAATGCTGTTTGGCACACAAACACCAACAAAACAGGTGGTACCTTCAACTTTGTTAAACATGGCAGCCATTTAGAGGACTCTTTCATTCTCCAGGTGCAACCCCAACACATCAGCGTACAGCTTGGACTTGAATCCTCACACCTGCAAGGCTGTGCTGTTCTATCACCTGCATAAGCCTTAGCTCCTTCTCCACTAGAGGTGACAGTCGATATACCGATTACCCACCAGTTTCAGTAGCTAGGGTTCTGTTCGACCAGCCATGCAACTTTGCCTGATCACCATCTAACCATGTACCAGACCCTTTATCCATTTTTCTGTGGGACTGGAGATACAGAAGAGTGTCAAACTTGTTTGGGCTGAGGCAGGACCCCTATGGGGACAAGCCCCTCTATTAGGTCATCTTGGGTAGACTTCCTTCAATGCTTGGCTTTAAGAAGGATCCCCATTTTTCCTGTTCCAGATAAGGTGGCTATGTCCTGTTTTGGCATTATTGTAAGGGTGCTCAGATCACTCTTTTTCTGACCAATTTGCAATGTGAGACCCTGCCAGAAACTATTGTCCCTAATAACACAGCTGCAAGTGCACAGAGACATGCACAGTCCTGGCACAGCAGAAACAGATTATCTGCAGTTGAAGTAGGGTGAGCCCCCCCAACCTTCTCTAATGAGCATTCTAAGAATATTTATTATTATACAATTATTCTCCCAGTGGTTCGCAATGTATAAACCATATACAAGAAAAAGTGTTTGTTTGTTATTTTCCAAGAGCCCATTCGGTGTCCATCATGCCCATACTTGTTCTGCGCTCTGGTAATGTGGATGTTCCCAGATGGATTGCATATATCATATATCATGCACATGTACTGTATGATTGCTACAGGGATTTTGCCAACTGAAAGGGAGGGCATTCATACATCCCGTTTATTGTATTAGGGAGTATGTGATAAGGTACCAACATTTCACCCAATGCAGTTTTCTTGGGTTTGGCATGTGTAGATTGATCCATTGCAAAAAGATCTTGAAAATCATGGCAAAATTTAGTTCTAAATTAGCCAAGAGAAACAGTGGTCACAGCTTTCACTGAATGAGCAACAGTGTTTATAACATGTAATTCTTATATTGTGTCTACTCTTTCTTTTTCCAGTGTTATAAAACATCAGTACACCCCACAGAGAATATCAATGATGTGAACAATGTCAGAAGCATCAAGGAAAATGAGAAAACTTGTAGTCCTTCGCAAAAAGCTGGCTGCTTGGAACATACTGATATACCATCTTTTAAAGGGGATGGATCATTCATTCCTCGACAAGAAGAGACGGAAAGTGTATCCATTCGGACAGAAAATGTTTGGCCTGCTTCAGGAATTGGCCACATGTCACATGGATGCAACAAAAAGAAGATACATATGAAAGATGGCATCGAAAATTCAGAAATGACAGAGATGAGTTTGGTTCAAAAACATGAAATTGATTCATCTGAATCCATGAGAGACAAAGGGGGAGAGTCAAACAAAGAAGCAGATGAAGTGGTTCATATAGATGAGCATGAAGAAATTGAATCCAAAGAAAACTTGGAAATGAAAGAAAACCCTTGCCAAGAAGACGGTATAGAACCTTCTTCAGAAGTGATTGATACAGGTGATGATTCTACAAAGAAAGAACCAGGTGTCATTGGCAATGGAAATTGTTTTGAAAATGAGAAGCAGTTATCAAGGGAGGAACCTAAAGCAGTCTCACCAAGCAAGGCTGAAAATGTTAATGAAGAAGTGGACTGTCGTACAGAAGATAACTTTGGAAAAGACAATGGACTTGATGAGAAAGACAGTTGCGTTCCAGCTGAAGCAGTTGACAGTGATTTGAGTGAAGACCCATCACCTATGATGTGTGACGGCCCTGATTCAGTAAAGAAGGATTGCATTACAGATTGTAGTTGCCAAGCACCATTTGATGAGCAACCACCTCAAGCAGACAATGAAGAGGATGCCTGCAATGATTTGCAGTTGAGAAAGCTGCCTGTAAATGGGAGTACAATGACAGATGAACATCCCATTTCAGAAAAAGCTCCTAACACTCCATCTGAAATGGATGTTGTTTGCAATCAACCTGCAGAAAATGATATTTGTTTGGCAGATAAGGTACATTATCAGACAGCAACATTACCCATATCTGATGAGAGGACTGGTTCATTAGATGGGTCTGGTCTAGCTGGGTCTATCCCCCAGTCCAAAGATGGTTTGGAAACAGGAAGCCAAAACATGGAAATGGCAATCTCTGATTTTGGTCCAAGTAGTGATGAAACAAAATCAGTTGTGGAAATGGAAAACGATGATAACACAACTCAAGAAGAACCATTTCATCACCTGTTTCATTCACCTCAGAGTGAGGTTCTGAAAAAATGTGAACCAGAAGAGGCATTGACTAAAGAAACAGATCTTGAAATTAACAGAACAAATGAGGGATTGGAAAAAAGTCATAGTGGGGTTGTAATTCCATTTATTGGACTAGACATCTCAGGAGAGGATATAGTACAACCACAAATCTCACATGAACAAAGCAAGGTTGAAGAAGTTGTTCAAGGCAAGAAAGATATACCATTTATCAGTGAAACTATGCACTCTGACTTGCCCACAGAGGTATGCAATACATCTGAAACATACAGTAAAAAGCAGGGACTGTCTTTTAGCAAAATATCACTTCTTGATGTAAGTGAAACCAACCAGCCAGTAGTCTTAGGAAGTGAGTCTGATGACAGGTGCCCTACACCAACTTTGGATGAGAAGCCATACGAGTGCATACCTTGCCCTAGAAGCAGTACTTCTGCTTTTAGTAGTAGTGAAACCTGCAAAAACATGACTCAAAGACGCCTTAGCAGAAGCTCAACGCCAATGATGGACGAGATGCCTCTTGAACGAAAACGTTGTCAGTCTATAATTAACAGTGATCCTAACCCTCATTATGGTCTTCATCCTGATCTCGAACTAAGAACTCTAAGAGTTCTACAAAGTATAGACAAGTTCCTCTTCAAGTCAAACCACACCGACAAGTCCTGCCAGATTGAAACGGCTGATATAAAAAACCATCTTGATCAAACTCCTAACCTTAACAGCAAGCACATCCCCACTTGCTCAGCCCCAAGCCACATGTCAGTTGACTTTAAGGACAAGATGATAAGCAATTCAAAGCCAGAGGTCGTGTCAGCCTCTACATCACATAAACTGCACAAAGAATCATCTGATCACTGTCTTATATCACCTTTCAAGAGTAAATTAGAGGAAGTACTTGGTGTTAAGTTGCAGCTAAAGAAAGCAGACTCACCACTTCCACAAGACTATTTTGAAAGAGCAGATGAATTACAACAAACCTCTAGAGGGCAAGACTATTGTCATTCCTACACATCTGTTCCAGCTACTGAGTGTTTTCAAACCATTACAGCTAATATTGGCCAAGACAGGCATAAAACAACACCACAGTCCAGTCTAAATCATGAACCCCGTTCAAACAGTCAGCGTCCTGTCATGGCTGTAAAACCTTCTAAGAGTGATGAGAGTCAAGCATATTTTATCTCTAAAGATGGACCAATTGAATATGCTCCCAAAAATAGAGAGACTAAACCCCCTGTAGTCACATACACCACATGCACTACCACGCCCTTGGAGAAGAAGACAGAACATTTCAAGGGAAATTCTAGACTAAATGATGTAAAGCAGGAGTCCTGTGAGTTTTCCTCTAGAAGTAGTTTATTGTCAAATGTTATTGACAAAAAATCTAACTTGGATAAAGCTAAATTTGCCCTTTTAGATCCTTCAAATCAGTACCAAGGAAAGGACATCAAGATTTCGTCATCATCTCTATCCATGCAGTCATTTGAATCAGCAAAAAGTGATGGACACCAAGGTTTCTTGGCATGCAGTACACTTGAGAAAGTTGTGCAAACAACTAGAGAGAACATTAAGATTGATCAGAAAGACTGCTCAGAAGCATCAACATCATTTGTGGATCACAAAGATAGTAGCATAATAGATGACAGTCTCATGGGACCTCAAAGCTCACTCACATGTACAATCTATAACACCAGTCGGAAGAGATCATGTTCTTTTCTGGAGCAGGTTTCTCAGAGGTGCCTTCAAGATGATATCACTCAAGTGTCAATGGAACAGGAGTGCCTCATCTTCTCAGAACAAATGAAACAGCTTTTGAAAAGGAGTAAGAGAGGACCCATCTGCCATCAGGACTCACATGACAAACTGACATTGGATTGTGCTAGTCCTGTCACTGTGCACTTTTCCAGTCTAGAGGAGCAGGAGGATTCACTGGAAATGTTGGATGCACCGTCGCTTATTGGACAAAAAATCAAGGTAGATGTGTCCGACAGGAAAGGTATGGCAGACTCTGGAGAGGAAGAAAAGACTTTGCATCCTCAAAAGTTATCTCCAGGAACAGGTAACATGAAGGAACATGCTGGAGTTTCTGGTGCGACTGCAGAATGTGCAAGGTTGTATGAAGCAATTATGGATGACATTTGTGCTGTCAAAAAGGTCCCATCTAGACCTAAGCACTTCAGAATGGACAGAGGTTACGAAAAGACTGAACCAAGTAACCATTTTGATTTCTGTGATCAAATGAAGAGAGAGATGGATGAGAGCTTTCGAAGTAATCTGAATTCAGTGGTGAAGAAATCTTGCAAAACAAAGTACAGATTCTACATATTAGTGACGTCAGATGATGCCCTCTTTGAGGAAACCAAGGTAAGACAAGTTTTCAACAAACTTCTAATGCAAAATTTCTGTTAACTATAATTTTCAGTCATGCATTCCTGTAACCATTTAAGTGATATGCCAAAATTTATTTTTTTGACAGAGCAATATTCATTCCCTGTACAAAAGGTGCCAATCGCAAGTTGTTGTTTACTCCTTAATGGAGGTGGGAGATTGTGGTCAGTTTGGATTCATGGCATGGGAAAATGATAATCTGCAGAACAATTAATTTCTCTGCTCTTCCACAGTAATATTTTCATGAGTTGGTGCTTGATTTGGGCTCACATCAAATTTCCAACATTTAAGAAGAATGTGGCTTCTTTTCTAGGTCCAGAATAAATAGTTGTTAAGTTAAATAGAATACAGGACTAACACCATGCTCTAATGTGCATGTTTACTTATTTGACAGGATTGTGCATGCAGATTGAGAGAAGACAGTGTGTTGAGTCATAGTTTGGTGAAAACATGAGTGGAACTGGGTAATGTAGTTAATACATGAGCAACAGGAGTAGGTTGAGAAGTTTCTGTGGTTGTTTTGAACTTTTTACACCTTGAAATCTTCTCAGTGTTGAATTTCATTATCCCCTTTTTACACACGCTGTTCAAGGTAGGAATGTTGTGCCTTATTTCTGCCTCTTGTTCCGGCAATAAGCCGGCAGCGGAGGTAGTCACAGAGCCGGACCAAGGTCTGGGTAAAAGGGAGAGCCAGCATGGCAGGCAAGATGCAGATGCTTTTATGTTACACACCACGCCAGTGATCCACAAACTCACTGCATGACCTAAGACAGACATTTCAGTACATAAGCTTGCAACTTAATATAGTTTGTATTATTCAATATAATGTCTTACTTATTGTACCATTAATTGTGGTGTTATCAAGAGGTAAGCAGCCACTGAGTAGACTTTAAGATCATATCAAAGGAACGGATGGAAAGGATGTCATACAGTGTCTCAATAAGCCCTCTGCATATTTGCTGTCCCGAAATATATGATTTTCAAAATTTGGTCAAAGTAGTGTAAAACTTACTAGTGAAAAATTGGCTTTTAAGGCTTTGTAATTTCTCCTTTATTTCCAAAAGGCACAGTTAGAGGCAGAGGGCCATACTGCTGTACAGCCATCTGAATTCTTCCTCACTGAGGGTAGTTCTTCGTCCCTACTCATCATCCTCAGGAATGAAGACATTGCAGAGCACATTTGTGAGGTAACGGATCAGCCACTGTAATACAATAGGCATTTTGCAATGGTTTATCATGAATTAATGACTCTGCTCTCTGTTGTCTCAGGTCCCACATTTGCTCGAGCTGAAAAAGTCACCAGGTGTGCAGTTTGCTGGAATTGATGAACCAGATGATGTTGTGAATCTCACCCATCAGGAGCTCTTCATGCGTGGTGGTTTTATAATGTTTGACAGAGCAGCACTGGAGCCCCTTAGTGTCTGTATGTTGACTTTTTATTGTGTGACACCTTGTTATGTGAGCATCTTATAATTCATGCAAGTGTTATTCATGATCTAAACTTTATGTGATTTGTTTTTTGTTTGTTTTTTTTATTTAGGCGACCTGAAAAAATTCTCAGAAATCTTGCAAGAGCTAAGAAGAACGGGGAAATGGAAATGGATGCTACACTACAGAGACAGTCGCCGACTGAAAGAAAATGCAAGGTAGGTAATACTCATTGTTTTTGTATTGAGCCAGCCAGTGCAAGTCAAAAACTTTGTTGTTGGATACACCCTGTGGTAGGAGAGACTTGTCTCCTAATAACCACAGCTGGGGCAATTCTGGCAGTGGCTTATGCTACCAATCTCCAATACTTTTCAGAGCAGTCCCATATTAAATAAAAGAAAGTATCTGCTTTGTTTTTACACTTACAAAAGTAGTTATCAATGAAAATTATTTTTTTAAGTTTGACTGGTGTATAGTAATACCTGTGAATAATTGTCCTGTTTAAATTTACCCATCACATGACCATTACCATTGCCAACTAGCATCAGCCACGTTTTTCTATATGTCCTCTTCTATATTTGATTTCAGATTCCCATTTACTTTACAGTGTGTTTGACATAATTTTGCAAAAAAACTGCGCACTTTGTAAAAGCCGGTCTCTTGAAATCTTATCTGTTTGTCTGAATATTATTTTTCTCCTCCCATATTCAGGTTGAGTGCAGAGGCAAAAGAGAAGAAGCACTTCTTAAACTCTTGTCAAGAAACTGGAATACTGGAGGTCTTGCCTTACCATGAGTGTGACCTCATGTCAAGAGATCAACCTGACTATCTCACATGTTTGGTTCGCTTGCAGGTCCAGAATATATCTTCCCGTTACCCTATTTTTATAACTGGTGAGATCCTAATGCACTAATATATTTACCTTGACATTCAGTGAGTCACATGACATTGTGGTTTTATTTTGACATCTTTGTTTGCCAGGTTTTATAAACATCTCTAACATTATATTAAGAGTGAACACTTTCAGTGTTTCAGTGCCACAAAACCGACCATGTTTATACACATAACATAAAACATAAAAATAAAATAAAATCCCCAAAGGAGTTTTTGCATGTGTCAGAGTTAACTTGTATTTTTGTTTTCTTGTAGTACAAAAGGTATAATGTGTTTTTCTTGTTATTACAGATATGGCAACAGACAGCGCATTTGGGAGAAATGGAATTTTAACAATGACTTTGAACTCTTTCCTGACAAATTCTCCAAGCGAAACATTTACAGTCTGACCTCAAAAAGTCCCATGGATGACTTCAAGTACACAGATTTCAAAAACTCACTGGATGTGAGGAAAAAACAAGAAAAACCAACACGAGTAATGTTGATTTCAAACATACTACATTTATTATTATACTTAATATCATAATTTATTATCTTACTTAATTTGAAAACTCATTTATCATTCAGTTAATGGATAGAGTGACAATAATGCCAAAATACTGGCAAGTGTGCTGTACATACTGTATAGACTTTGTATTGTATTTTTGCTGTAAATTATATTGTAAACTTGTTAAATAGTGTGATTTTTATGTGGTATATATTTTGTGTTTAGCTGATAACTCTGACTTTATACAACTGCAGCACAATCATTACTAGTGTTTGTTTGATGATGATGTTTTTGGGGTCAAAAGATTCACAAATATTTTTTTTTAAACTTTGTTGCTGTGCTTTGTCCAGGCCTTGCAACAAAGCTTGTGTTACATATTTAAAATTACTACTATACACTATTAAGGTTGCTGACAGTGATTCTTAACTCTTGTTGGAGCACAACAATTAAACATTATTACTAAATGCTGAATATGTTTAGTTTTGTAGGCATAATTCTGTGCAACACAGCTGAGAATAAAGAGATGTCTTACAATATTTTGCTTTAAAAGAATCAATGCTGGATGCTGGAATTTGCACTCTGGTCCTGGCCACTCACAGCACACTATGTGTTCACACTTTCAGCATCCTTGCTGCAAGACCCACAACATTGTAAAAGAAATTGTCTCAGATGACTAAAGAACTATCTTTACTCAACCAAATAAAATTAAAATAGAAATCTGGATTTAGCTTTGGCAAGGAAGCTCAAATTCAGCTTTATCAGAATAAAATGCCTCAAAATTTTGGTTTCTCTACACAGTGGCATTTCTTTTGTTATGGATTTGCTCCTGTACTTCATCCAAGTGCTGTCAAAAGTTAAAACTATCAGTGGAAGAGAATGAAAACTGAAATGTGCAAGGTTTAAACGTGATTTAGCTTTTAGTCAACGGAATAAATTTTATTTTATTTTGAGAATGTGCTCATACGGCGTGTTCTTCACAGGAGACAACCACTCACACCCTACTCCTACGCTGTCAGTCATGTTTACTGCATTTCTGAACAGCTCAGTTTGAACCTGGCAGTGGCCTAACAATGGCTACATTACATAAAGATGAGGCTGAAGATTCTTCACCAGAGCAACCATGGCTTTATCTCAAGTCCATGTTTGAAGTTTTGTGGCTGACACAGTGTTAGTGGTTGTGTTAATGAGAACTCTTGCTCTCAGTACTGACGAGGTTTCGTGTTTATTTTGCCCGCCCTCCGTCTCCGCAATTTGACAGGATTGGTTCCTTAGTCATATGATGAATGAAACTCTGGCTGTCTGAATCTGTTTTTGAGACACTGTCATTGGTTCTCAGTAGTTCCAAGGTGGAAATACTTATGTTTAATGCTTATTTCACTCATGATATGTCTTGTATTATATAAAAAAATCTAAGTGTCTATCGTACCTTCAAAATATGATGGAAAGCCATGGATTTGAAAGTCCTGGACAGGATTCATCCAGTGTTACAGTTAGAATATAGATTTTAATATTTAATTGTTTTCAGGTTGTCTGTCTGTCCGTCCGTCCCATTCTTGTGAACATGATATCTTAGTAACAGCTTGAGGGAATTTCTTAAAATTTGGCACAAACATTCACTCGGACTTGAGCATGAACTGATTAGACCTGATAGAAGGTCAAGGTGTCCTCACAAAACGTGGTTTTGGCCTTGTGAACGCCGCTTTATCTCAGTAACGCCTTGAAGAAATCCCTTCAAATTAGGCACAAAAGTCCATTTGGACTCGAGGATGAACAAATCAGATTCGGTGAAAGGTCAGGGTCACTGTCAGCCAGGAGAGGGCCTCAATGAGAACAATCTCTTTAAAAGGAATATCCTGGCCACTACTGCAGCCATACAGAACACAAAGGTTAAAAAATATTTCATGAATGAGGAAAAATTAGAAGAGCAGATATGATCATAAGGATGATGTGAAATTGATCAAAGTATTTCATTAAGAGGAATATACAAACGAACATGAATTTATATAAAATTTATTAAGATAAATTGGGTTCTGTAAACGGACTGATGAACACAATGCAGGGTCAAATATGTTTGAAGGGGTTCATTCACAGCTGACCAGCTGGTTGGGTTACTTAGACCCAGCTGCTGGTTTATTAATTTTCCCGCTCAGCCATTGTCGAACAGTGGGCAGGATTTTATGGTAGGTTAACATTAAGTGGCAGTAGCATTAGCTGCTAATTCTGGCCATCACGAATTTAATATTGTTATGAAAAGAAATACTGACAGTTCAGTTGCATTACCTTTCTGTGTTGCCTATTGAATCTGATCAACTATCTAATATTAAGATGGCATTAGAAAAAAAATCTCTCACTGGGTGCTGAATTGGCTGTTAAACATCAAACCTGATTCCTGATTAAATCAAAACTTTTCAATAGCTTTAGTGCTAAGTTTGACCTCCAAAAATCTAATGTCAAGGGAAAATGAAAAAAAGTCTGGTAACTAAGCTGCTAGCTACTAACTTTGGCCTCCACAAATCTAATGTTTAGATTAAATAAAAACTGTTATTAACATTTGGACAAGATTCTAATGAGAAAATAAGATGTAAAACACTGTTACATTAGCTGCTAATTTTGGCCATTAACTATACATAACTATATAACTATATTAACTATATCAACCATACTTTTCCTATTAAGAAGAAACCTTTTCAATACTTTTAGCTGCTATGTTTGGCTTCCATCTAATGTTAAGGGTGGATGAAAGAGTCATGGTAACATTAGCTGCTAATTCTGCCCAGTACAATTTCAATATACAGTATATGTGAAAACAGTGGCAGTTACTTTACCTGCCAGCAGTGCCCACTAAAAAGTTATGGTAAGGTCAAATGTCAATAACTGCTAACTTTGGACACCACAAATATAATGCTTAGATAAAATATAATTAACATTAGCTGTTGATTTTAGTGACCATGTATCAATCTAATATGATGATGAAAAAAAATCTAAATCTTTCAATAACAAAAAAGGCCTCATAGCTGCAAGTCAATGAATTAAAGTGCTAAAACTTTAATTGCTTATTTTTGGGAAGTGATGTAAATGTATAATTGCCTACAAATATAAAAAATGCAGTGTTGATATTTTATATTAATTAGCTGACAGGATAGGAAAAACTGCTGTGATGATTCAGATCAGTCCGATCAGTCAATCACTAACAGATTTCTAATAAAGATGTGTGTCAGTCTGATGAAGTTTTTAGACTGATAAGACTGATATATGTGGCTTTCAAAAGGCTGATGGACACGTTTGAGTGTAAAGTCTCTGAATGGAAACATTTTTCAAAAACATCGCTACCTCAGCTTCATGCAGAATGCAGGGAAAAGTGGACAGGAAGCTTGACACACTTTGCCCCTACTGCTGGCATGAGCCTAATAACCATACAGTGCATTCAGAAAATATTCAGACCCTTCTCATTTCTTTTACGAATTACCCCAAATTCTGATTTTTACAAAATCAGAATTTTTTTAATTTTTGCAAACTGAAAACTGAAACTGGTATTGTATGTAGATTGATGAGGGGAAAATTAATTGAAACTATTTTAGCATAAGATTGGAACATAACAAAATTTGACTGAGTACTGCCTAAATGCACTGTATATCGAACTGATTGGTCTGTCAAATGGATATGGACCCTCTTAGTATTCTTTCCTAACATGGTGCTTCCTGCAAGCCCATATCATTTCTTCAAACACTGTTGTTCTATTTACATTTGTTTTCCATGTTGTCAGAATTGATCATTATTCATCATTTAAATAAGACAAAAAACTGTATACTGTAACTGTTATAAAAAGGCAAACAAAAAAACTGTAAGCAAAATATAAAATCTAAGGGAGAAACAAGACAATTGAAACCAGTTGTTCTGTTTTGATTATGTGACATGATCAGGCTTTTTTCATTCTTGGATCCTTCTTTGCTTTCATTGTTCTTTTTTTTTTTTGTTCATTTCACTGACCAGGTTGGCTCAAATGAGGTTAAATGGTAAAACCCACCACTTGGGTCAAACCAACCCATACCCAGCAGTAGGGTTAAGGTTGGGTTATTTTTCAGCCCAGCAGTTTTTTGAGTGTAGCCCAGTATTTCAGAAATATGTTCCCCAAAAAATGATATAATTCTGTTAACTTGAATTGAAATTCTTCAAGAGGACATCAAAACAAAGACTTAAGGCCTCTGAAAGTTTTCTCAATTGCTTGTCACTGAAAATCATGAGGCTGGATTTTAAAAAAAAAAGTTGTAACAGGTCCTCATGCTCCATCTTGTGGCCCTGGTCTTGCAGAGGGACCCTGTTGCAAAATCTACTTTTAAGATTTTAAATGTTTTAGTTTGTATTGACTTAATTTGTTACAAAGTTGTCTTTTATCAATTGCTCAAATTGCTGTGTGTCAAGTATCACACTTAGAAAATATCAGCCATATTATTCCTTCATAGGAGTAGGGCTTTAACCAATATTCATTATTAATGTATGGATGACAATTATTTTCTTAAATAACTGAATGATTGTTCAGTTAATGTGAGAATAGTGTAATGCCTATAATACCATTATATCCTGAGGCCCAAGTTAACATATTAAAATTGCTTCTGTTGGTCTTGCCAACAATTAACAACATTCAAATTTTGAGTTTACTATTATTAAAAAAACAGACAAACAAGTAAATATTCTCATGTGGAGAGCTAGTCTCGGTGAATTTTCGACCATTTCTGCATAAAAAAATACTTAAGAGATTGATCAGTTATCACTTGTTGCCATGCCAGCTCTCGAGCACTGGTTGGTTTGTGAGAGCCAGAGGAAATACTGAAACCGCCATGTGTAATGAGGGTCTAAAGGAGCCCAATAACACTTTAACGCTGCGGGTCCCCTCGCGAGGTCAGACTGAGTGGTCTGAGTCACAAACCGTTGACCTTAAGTTTTCTCCAGTTTTAACGTGACTCAGCGGATGTGGAACGAAATCCGAAACCGATCGTCGGTGTATTCTGTTAAGTTCAGATGTGTTCCCGGGTAAATGAATAGCAACTCGTTAGGGACAAGTCTTTCCAGCCGTAACTACAGCGGACATTTTACCGGTTCAACAGAAAACCTGCCGCAGTCTACGCCACATGTAGCTACATTTAACGGTCGAACAGTTTTTCTGCGCATTATCAGGCGGTGATGAACTGTGTGAATACAACAGAACAGTGTAGGCTGACGCTGACCTTTGCGCATGTGCGATCTAGATTTCGGGGATGGGTCTATCGATGGAATCAAGATGGCGACTCTGGCAAAAGCGCCAATATATTTACTGAAGTAGATGTCCAAAATTAACCGCAGGAGCGGGTTTTTTCAAGCCCCTTGTGGGTTCCGTGAAACATGAAGACCGGGAACATGTTTTGGAAGAGGAATTGACTGGGAGTAATACCGTAACAAAGTCAGCGAGATGTGCGAGAGCTATGCCCGCTCGCTGCTGCGTGTGTCGGTGGCGCAGATCTGCCAGGCTCTGGGCTGGGATGCGGTTCAGCTCACTGCGTGC